GCTTAGATCAGTGAAGTCATCATTGTTTGTGGCGTAGTGAGGAGACCGAGTTTAAGTCTATATGTGAAATAGAAATATTTAATAAACGTGTCAGTTTCGAAGTGATAATTATCAGTTAGATCCAATATTAATTTGCCTGTTGTTAAGCCTAAAGCTGCACAATAGGCTATTTGCGTTGCGCTCTCTGCAAATTCTAACGTAACAAGACCTCAAGCTTAGCACTGAGCTACTAGGGGCATTTAAAATTGAAACTGTTAAGTAAATATTGTCTTATTCATAATTTATGATACAGTTGAGGATTGGAAGGTTCATCGTTTACTGAAGAAGAGGCCTACGTATTTGTTTAAAACAACTGATAGGCTTACGAACCAACTGGTTTAGTTCAACTTCTATGACGACTTTCACTTAGAAACATTTCTTGAAAGAAAGAACAGAAGAAATCAGTTTAAATTTTTCATCTATATTAACCTGGTCAACAGTACACTAGGTAACACGATATTCGCTATCAAATCTGTGCTATAAACCACACAGATAAACAAAACAAAGTTTTAGACGAGCTGATAATAATGTAGACTAAACGCAGCAAGGAAGTAACACATCAACACCATATTATAAACCAAAATCAAAAATACATTAGTAATAAAGAAATGTGTACATATAACACAGATCCAGGTTTTCCTACCTGTGTAACCTTTTGACTTCATGAACATTAAACCGACCGAGGATGTTAATCGTGTAACGTGTATATGTTCGTCACGATCACCAATCAGCCACCTAACGAGAACAGGGTGGCTAATTTTCAATGTTTTATTTTTTATTTATATAATTTAATTGACTCGATCCTAAAGTTTTTTCTTTACTTGTTTTGAAACTTTGGGACATAAATGGTAACCTGTTGACACATGACATGATTTTGCACAATAAACCTAGGGAATTGTTACTGTATTAAGTATTAACTAGATATGTTGCTGCTGTAAGAAGTTTTAGATAATTTGGGTGAACTAATTGTGTACGTTGATTTGTTTAGATAAAATACACCGGATCCAGTATGAATACTGCTCGATCTATTGGACCAGCCGTCGTAGCCAACATCTGGACTGATCACTGGGTGAGTAACGCTTCCTATAACATGGTAAAAATCACACACTTTGTAATCTAAGTAAGAACAACCTTAAATAGTTTCAGAAACATTTTGTCAAGAGCAAGCTTAAATAATGTATCTAAAGAGGCAGTTCTGTTGTCAAGAGCAAGCTTAAATAATTTATCTAAAGAGGCAGTTCTGTTGTCAAGAGCAAGCTTAAATAATTTATCTAAAGAGACAGTTCTGTTGTCAAGAGCAATCTTAAATAATTTATCTAAAGAGACAGTTCTTTTGTCAAGAGCAATCTTAAATAATGTATCTAAAGAGACAGTTCTTTTGTCAAGAGCAATCTTAAATATTTTATCTAAAGAGACAGTTCTTTTGTCAAGAGCAATCTTAAATAATGTATCTAAAGAGACAGTTCTTT